TCTCTTGTCCTTTACGCAAGTGGGGAAAAAAAGGCGAGACACAGAGAGAATTGTATTCCCGAGGGTCCAGGTCCCGTTAGTGTACTCCGTAGACGGCGAGCGGAATTATCGAGATCTGGATGCGGTTGAAGCCCGGGCGGAAAGGGGGTCGGCGGCTGATTGAGGGCCGATGGCAGGACGATACAATCCACATGCGATCCGTTGGTCCGCATGGCGCAAATGTGTCTCGCGGTCGGAGGTCTGCAATGTACCCGCTGGTCGCATGTATCGGATTTATTTGAATCAATCCGGATCAACAGCAAAGTGTCCTCGAAGCGGCAGGCAAGTCGCAGGCCGCAAAGCAGTGAGTCGGGAGGGTTGGAGGGAGGACTTGGCCAGTGGTCTAGACGTCACTCGGTTCGCAGATGCTGCCCGTTGTAGTTGCTGTCACTGCCTCTCAAGTTACAAGTGAGTTGTGAGTTTTGACGTTGTATTCCCTCGGCGGAGAGGTACTGCGCAGAAAGGGAGAGAGTGCGACATGATGTGCAGACGGTGGCTAGGCCCGCGAGATTGGGGGGTTTCATGGTGGACGAAAGCTGGAGAGCTGTGCGTGTAAGTGAGGAGAAGCGAGCACGTAGGCACCGTAGGATGCGCGGGAATGCAGGGAACAGGGCGATCCGTAGCGGCGATCAGCACTGTCAAGTTGTCGACTGTGTTGGAGTCTATGTGATGCTTGCTGTACAAGTGAGTGTGAGTGTTGTTGAAATGCCATGTTGCTTGGGCAGAGATGGGTGTCGGCCAAACGAACAGCAGGGACACTATCATTACCAGAGCAAGTACGGATAGCTTCAGCTCATTGCAAAGTGTTATTGTCGCAAGCTTTCCGTGGCATCTGCGCTTGCACATGTCAACTCCCCATGATCAATGATGATCCATGGAAGATGGTATCCACTGGGATGCCGTCACCACAAGGCCCAAAAGTGACATGCTGCTGACCTGCTCGGTTCGGATAAATTAAGAACAGAAAAAGAAAGGGAGAAAAAAAAAAAAAGAGGAAACAGACAAGGACCAGGAAGAGAGGGAGGGAGGGAGAGAGAGAGAGAGATTGGAGATTGGATGAGATGTTGTTGTCATAATCAAAGATGAAAATGTTACGAGAAGACGGCCACTTTGAAAATTCAACAGCAGCACGGGAACAGTCGGGAGGACCTTGGTCATGTATTTCACCGTACAATTACTGCGGTGACGATACTTGATGACTACTCGCACGCACGTCGCTCGTCCCATTGGCTCCGGTCTGGGCCGAGCGGGTCCTCCCCTGCCCTGGGGCGGTTGGTTCCTGCCTCGTTCGATTCCCCCAGCGGATGGGCTGTTTGTCAATTTTGGCAGCGACGTTCGACACTGCACGAAAATCAGACCACCTGCCTCCACTGCACAGCATTCACCGCACACCGCACACCCCCATCCTCTTCCTACACCCCCTCCCTTCCTCCCTTCTCACCACCAAACAGCAACAATCACAGACCTACAGCCTACGGAGTATACCATCATCAACACTGAACACTCCAATACGCAGTACACCATTGACCATCGACCATCCACCATACCTTGCGGATACTCCATCGTCCACCACCCATCATATCGACACTTCATCTCTCAACCTTGGAACCAACACTCGCCAGTGCTGCATCGGCGCATCGCTACCCCTTCATGTCCCGCCATGCGCCCATTATGCGCTCCATAGACCTCCAACGTGCCATCCCACAACCAAGGAACCCGTCAGACTCAGCCTTAGCGAACTTGGCAGTCTTTCCAGGCCCTCCAGTATTTTCAATCTCTCCATTGGTCTACTTACTCGTGTTGCTGTCTGCCGTGCCTCTTGCGTCGAGTTCCGGCGATGCGTGCGATGCGAGGCAGTGCGAAGCGATTACGGATGACTCGTTGCATTACCACCGCCGTCATCCGTCAGACTTGAATCACCGTTGCCGGAGACCGGCGGGCCCTTGCTATTCCCAGGACATCCAACGCCCTGGACGCGAATCCTGTACGCTTCGGCTCCGTGACTCGGCATCCTCGGGCCTTGACTGAGCAACACCTCGGTCGCAAACGTCCGCTGCTCTCTCAGCTCTGCCAACAGCCAACTCTTGATTTTTCTTGCCTCGCCCAATAGTAGCCGGGCAGTGAGAATATCTACCTTTGCCAGGTATTCACGCAGTAGGCAAAGTATCTTGCTCATTCCGAGTGAAGAATACTGGCAGCCGCAATCAGTGTTGGAGTGCTCGGCAGCATCAGAAGCCGACCACTCGGAACGACTGGGGACTCGGGAGGGACATGACCGCCAGTACAGCGCAAATCATCGACGTGTCTCTTGCCTCTTGGGTCGAGTGGCCGGCACGCCTCGAGGCATGGCGATGCGCCCGACAAAAGCTTCGAATCCTTCTCCTTCCCCCTCCTTGTTCGAGGGCTGACGAGACCGGCGACACGGCATGCCAGGGAAGTGGAATCCAGCTACCTACCTGCCACTACCTACGTACCTATTCGTATGGATACCTACATTAGGTGTCGGGCTGTTAGTGCCATAGGGGCCAAGTCTCACTCAGTGTGGGTGGGAGGGACCCTGGAGATCTCGATCGTCTTCTGCCTGCCGCGGGCCACCTGTCAAACGGTCACCCACAGGAACAGGAACGAGAGGCAACGGCCGCCAGGAGGTAGCGACAGCTTCAACAGACTGTCGTCTACGATGTAGTCACAGACCCCCGAGGTCCTGTCTTGACCGTCGACAAGATAGCGAGCAACGACGTCAGCCATGATCCCATCAGTAGTCTAGGGAGCAGCACTGTCCAGGATGTCGTTATGCACGTCAGGAAAATAACATTTCTACTACGTAGCTGCCTGCTTGTTTTGCCTGCCTGGATACACGATAATCGTCAATGGCCTCAAAAGCTCCAACAAGATCTACCTTTTCCATCCAATCTGTCAGTCTGGACCGGCCCCATGCGCCGTTTACGTCCAATTAGGTAATGCCAGACGTCCAAGTTTGAACTCGAACAGCTTCACGACTCGACACCTCGCAGTCTCACACGCCCCCCCTTCCTACCGTAAGGTCTTAGCTCCTCCCCATCTCGGTCAAGATGGACGAGATCTTGGTTTTGCGCCCATGGTTCTTTGAGCTTTGGAGTCTTGGGCGCATTTTGTGACAGGCTTGGGTTCCTCTGGGAAGGCCGGGGGCCACGGGGAAGGGGGGGGGGGGGGTTTCCTGATTCAGATGCATTCCCACATCCATCGCACGAGATGGAAGGCACGTTGGGCACCACAACCAAGGTTGAGATATCCGATTTCCGAGGTTTTTTTCTTTGGTCTTGCTTTTGGATGAATCGCCAAAAGATTTGAACCGCAAACATATCGTCAGGTTGCATGCAAGATGATGATGACGGGTGTCCTAGTCAAAAGTAGACCAGATCGCGATGAAGGAAAAAAAAAAAAAAAAAAAAAAAAAGGCGCGCTCGCTTCCGATGAGATGCGCCCCCCAATGGCCCCCGAATGGCCCCCCAATGGCCTCATGGAAACGGTTTCCTCCCCTCAATCTCGCAGTACCTTGTAAATCCATAGTAGGCAGTTTAGTCAAGATGGGCCTTCCGGTCCGCAGAGTTGACGACGGGCTGCGGATAGGCAAGTGCCGCCAAGGTCCCGAGGTGCCCCTCCATCGTTCTATTCTCTTTCCATTTCGTCGTGTGTTGACAGTTTTCCCCCTTCCGGGATTTGACGCCAAAATACACAGTACACGCCCACGCCCACGCCCACGCCCACGCCCACGCCCACGCCCACGCCCACGCCCACGCCCCCCCGAGTCTCGGGCACCCACCCCCCTAGACCTTGTCAGCCGCTCTTTTGCTTTTTCCCGCCTAGCTTGGTCTGGAATTAGGCGTGGCAGCAGCAGCAGCAAGTATCGAGTACCTCTTCCTGAATCTCTCCCTCTCAACCAAGTCCGAGGTTTAATACCAGTAAGTATTAGGTATCATCTTCGTTTCGTTTCGCGGACTCGACAGGACAGACTATGAACCTTTCTGCAGAGGACCGCTGTGTTTATGGACTACCTACTCGTGTATAGATTCAGTGCAGGTCTTGCATACAACGCTCTAACATATGCAGCATACGCAGTAGTGTCATAAGGGAGTGAGAAGAAGAGAGAGAGAATCCGGTGCAGGGTGAAGGACTCAAGAAAAGTATGTGTGTACCATGTACCCGTACCCTGTACCGTACAGATGGACCCTCCTTGGTGCATGTGTCAAAGAGACTCCCCACAGCACCTCTCATGTCAATCATCAGTCTTTCCCACCGTCGGATCCGTCCGCCCGTACCATTCACACACTCTGTCGCCTACCGAGTACGCAGTATTGTCGACTCTGTATCCATACCGAGAGTCGTCCAAGTACTTTGGTCACATTTTCCTTTGGTCAACCACCCCGTGCTCGTATGACGAGCCCGTCCATCGCCAGTTTTGCTCGCCGTTCCAACCCGCGCCCGCCTTACCATCACGCCCCCCAATGATCCATTCCTCCAAGTCCACCCTACCCGCATCCCAGCATTCGGACCTCAACCCCGGCTCATGGCCGATTTTCTTGGCCATTGACTCTCTTTACGTCTCTTTACGCCTACGCAGCACCCATGCTTCACCATGTTCTGTTTTACTCGCCTTCTAGTATATAGCTTTGCCGTCCGTCTTGTTGTCTCCCCACCTGTCCACTCTCGAACCATCAGCCTCATCTAAAGTAACATCATACCTTACTCCGTACAGTACCTTACCAATATTGTCTTCTCTCGCCATCGGCATCTCAACACACCCACAAACACACACACACACACACATATCTCAACACCGGCCCCTCGTCAACTCACTTCCCGAGTAACGCCACCAGCACCTCGCATCTTCAATCAACGACAATTCCTCCAGACCGGTCCATCGTCAGATTCCCCCCTCACCTCCCACACCCCAGTCAACCTACCCCTCCATGAATCGCACCATGGCTCAACAACAGTCCTTTGACTATTATCAAGTACCTCCGATGCCTCAATCAATGGTATGTAGTCTTTTCTTTCCTCCCCTTTAAACCAACCTGTCATTCCCGACTTACACACGACGACTTGACCCAATTGGCATCAAGTCTCTCTCACACCTGCATAACCGACACTTCTTCCCTCTGCATCAGCACCCAACTAACACTGCATCTCCAACAGAGCCCACCGGAGCTGTCTCCGCTCTCCTTCTACGACACCCAAGCCGACTTCAGCGCAGACTCGGCCCCGTCCCGCGGCTCCCCCGTCTCCCCCGTCTTCCCGACCTCCTCCTTCCAGCTCCCCACCGGCGGCGACTGGCCCGCCTACTTTGAGAAGCCCGCCCTCTCCCCGGACCTCGACGTCTTTTACGGCGAATCCTTTGGCAGCCCAATGTCCTTCCTCTCCCCCCAGAACCTTACCCTCAGCCCCAGCGCCAACCCGTCCGACCTCATGTCCGACGCCGTCGCCTTTGGCCGCGAGGGCATCAACGACACGCAGCCCCTCTTCCAGACCCTCGACGCGCCCGCCCGGCCGCAGCCTCAACCTCAACCTCAAACCCAGCAGCCCGCAAAGTCGCCCCGTCTCGCCCGGACGACATCCGCACCCTCCTCTCGTCCTCAACAACAGCCGCAACAGCGCCAACAGCAACAAACACAAACACAACCACAACAGCGAACCTCCCCGCGCACCAACGACCTCAAACGAAAATCCTCCGCCTCCTCCGCCTCCTCACGCTCCGCCTCCCCCGAACCCCCCGCCCGCCGCACAAAACACTCGGAACCCTCCAAGAACCCGCACAACATGATTGAGAAGCGCTACCGCGTCAACATCAACGAGAAAATCATCGCCCTCCGCGACGCGGTCCCCTCGCTGCGGTGCGTCGTCCAGCACACCGAAAACCCGCACGCCGCCGCCGCCGCCGCCGCCGAGAGCGACGAGGCGATTGACGTCGTCGAGGAGTTGGGCGGGTTGATGCCCGCGCGCAAGCTGAACAAGGCGACGATCCTGAGCAAGGCGACCGAGTATATCGCGCACCTGGAGAAGAAGAATTCGCAGCTGTGGAAGGAGAATGAGGCGTTGGAGAAGAGGCTTGCGGAGGCGCAGCAGTGGCAGCGGGCGCAGGCCGAGGGACCTTTCTGGTCTTGATGGGTTGGGTGTTGTCCTTGCGCATAGTATCGAATAAGACGAATCAGAGCAAAAAGAGAGAGGAAGAGATGGAGTGCATCATAGAAGGGTGTTTACAAAAATTCAACCATTGGGTAGATGGAAAGAAAGGGGGGAAAGGCGCGAGGTTTTCCGGCAGTTGACACTGTTTTTGACGACTTTGGAATTCTCTTTTCTTACAAGGGCGTTCTTTTACGGTACCGGGCGGGGGGACTCGTTGGGAAGAAAGGAGGGAAACTCCATCATTTTTGAAATGTATACCACAGGGATGATTCCATCATCAAAGAAGGCGTTTTACGGGTTGTTTGAGTAGGGACATTTGAAGAGGGTTTTTGGCGAGGTTTACCTGTCAAAGAAGAGACTATTGCTTTACCTTGGGTGGAAGATTCAGAGGTATTATCTAGGAAAGGTGACCTTTGGTTTACCGAAACTCTCCGCTTTCTTGCTTCGCATGAAAGATGCGAATAATGAAGAGATATTTTGAACTACATTACATGCTTTGGGGGCAGCTGTTTGTGAGGTCGAGGCAGCTCGAACCCTCAGTTACCATTATCTCAGTTGGTGCTGTCAGCTGTGCAGTGACTTGTATTTGCGTGTACAAATCCTCTGAATCCAATAAAAGCTGCAACAGTCTTGGTCCCTTTGGTGACCCTTTCAGTGATCTCAATACCTCGAGCCCTTTATCCCCTTAGAGGTTCCATCAGCACCATTGATAAAGCTCTGACCCTCCCCGTGGCCAACTCTTCAAGGGCGAGCGACACTGTCGAGACATCTTCAGTGTCCCGTGTTCTCCCAGCAGCCCCATCTCCGAGAACCGGCAAACTCGGGCGGCCCAAGGGAAAAAAAAATTACGCCTCCAACGCCCCGACACGCAGCCCGCCTCACCCTAGCGCGTGTGACAGTCCACCACTAGCGGAACCGAAGACGTCGGCCGAGGCGCGATCCTTCGGCTCCGGGGTGTCTTTTCGGAACCCGTGGTCCGGCGTGCACTACCTAGAAGTAGCGTCCGCCGCTGCGAGCAGGGAAGCCAGTCGAGTGATCTGATGTGAAAGGGCTATCCCGACGTGAAGTAAATGGATAGGGTTGATCCGTCTGTTGAATCACGGGGGCAGATACCTCCAGTCACCAAAGATCGTTGGCTAGACTGCATATCTGAGGTAAGGGCAGCGGTGTTTGCTATAACTGTTTTCATAGCTGTGACGGCCACGTAGAGCGTTACTAGTGAATGGGAATGGACTCGAGAAAAGTTTTGTGAGATTAGTTGTAGACGTCGGTTACATCTTGAACAGCGTGATTTGGAGCCAAAGTGAAACAGAGAGAGAGGGACTTATGCAGGATAGTGTGAATGGGCCTTTGCAGTCTGAGCACCATCAGCAAAGGTCCATAATCTGGGCCACTGGTGTTCAACAGATTATGAAAACTAGTCATATATAAGAGCATACTACATAATGCCGGCTATCGGGGCCTGAGAAGAAGTGCGAGTCAGAGAGAGCAGGGCCTGTGACTACACGTGAGTTGAAAGCAGGAGGATGGCTGGACCATGTTACGAAGATCTACTGTAATAATGCCGCTGAGTATTTCCTAGGGAGATCAGTTTTGAAGCGAGCGGTAGAGTATTGTCATCCATTTAAATGCATACTAACCGACGATTGAGTTGACCTGCTCAGGAGCGCTGTGCGAGAGTCAACGTCATCCATCCACAATGGTAAACCGTAACAATACTCTTGTCCGAAGAAAGAGGGTCTGCCCATTCGAAGCGTTCAAATTTTTTTGTGATTTTGTTCCGTTTCTTACGGCTTTGAGATAATTCAAGTTTGTGCGTGATGTTCAAAGCAGCACGAGTAGAATCATTGTTGGCGTGTTCTCCTTTGTCCATTGTTTGGATGACTGGTTTCGCAGACAGCTTTCTCTCGCTGATTCTGGGTGAACCCGAACACCGGTATGATAATCAAAGATGAACCATCGTGACTGTCACAAAGCCGGTGGTAAACCAAACATGTATAAGAGAATGCGACCCAAGACGTGGGAAGCAGCTGTAAGGTTCATAGCCATCAGCGAAGACATAAACACACACACCACACCATACCACACCCACACAGACAAGGATCAACGCAACTACACACGCTTGAGACCAAGACGCGAAATGGACCCTCCTCCCAGACGTCTCAGACTCGTTCCCAAGGTCACCTTCATTCTTTCATCCATCGCCATACACTATCAGGTCGTCAAATTCGTTTACAACAACCATACACCACATGATCTCCTGAACCCGTCCCTAATCTTCGTTCTACCATGTACGATATTCATCATCAGTCGTGGTCTTGGGGTTCTGAGACACCACGCGTTCATAATTGCTTTAAGAAGGGAATTCGGGGTGATTGGTCTGTGGTTATTCTACTTTTTACCAGTCCTCATCCAAATTATCCTGTGGCTGAGGTTAGCACAATGGGTCACTGCGACAGTTCCATGGCTGATAATATCGGCATTCAGGCTGTCCCCCATCGTTGTACTGTTGATTCTCGCCGTCCAGCTGTGGAGGAGGACAAGCAGACAGACCCAGCAGTTCCCTGCGCGCGAGCATCGGCTCGTGGCGCAGCGGGTAGATGAGTTAGCCGATGGGCCTATTCACGTCCCGATGCAGGAGTTGAATGACAATTGGATATTCTGAGACGCTGTTTGATCGTAGAAGACTGAGTTGCCGTGGGGGAGACGTTTCTCATACTACAGATTTGAGACATGATACCACCAAGTTTGTGTTAATTCTAGCGAGGTTGTTTTGCTGCAAAGGATTAGTCTGATTCATTTCCCCCCTTGTGAACAACTTTCTCCTGACGCGGACTGCTGTAACGCAGCGTTGAATTCAAAGCCAGATATTCATACAGACTTCCCGTGGCGGTCGACGGAGAGAACCAGACAACAGTCGATTTGGGTGTGGATTTCGCATGACGTCTAGAAGCCCAGTCTCGAACATCATCTGGCGACGGACCAGCTGTCGGAAATCCACGACGTAACTACGTACTGCGCATCTGACCCATCCTAATCAGAACCATGTAGCCAGTGATCGATCAGTGGCACTCGACTAAGTAAGCGCCCAAGTGCTGATGGACCCCGTATCGATAGTGTGAATAATGAAGTAGCGGTCACGCTCACTATCCAGCGAGCTTATCTCTCAGGTTCGCATCAAATTGAACTCTCGGTCTCTGAAGACTCCGTGAGATAGCGATAGGGCAGCAGCCGTGGTCCTTGGGCTTGGTCTCGCAGCACCCGAAGCCTAGTTTGTGAAGCGGCAAAACTTGGTGCTTACCGTACTTAACTAGTCGTTGCATGTATCAACGTCACCTCAAGAGAGCACCAATTGATGTATCGTACATAAGCATTTTGGCTGACATCCGGGTTGTCGTAGGGCAATTCCTGCGCTCAGGCATGCATGACAGCTGGCGCGAGACCGAACATTGAGTCGTGTAGATCGGCCCCAGGCTGCGAATTTCTGTACAACCCGTGGCGAGGCTATTTGGACATCTTCCAATCACCGGCCACGCCCACAGCTACATAAAGACGTTCTAGAGGTGACAAAAAGTTGCGCTTGCCCACAGTGCCCCTTGACAGAAAGTGCATCCAGAAACAGGCCCTGCAAGGAATGAATAGTTGGATTCTTTCCAGACCGGCCACCGCTGCAAGTATGAAAGGATAGAATGCTCGATTTACAAGAGGTTCGTTCAAATGTGGCATGGTTCAGCAAGCCTCGTCTTGGCCCGTCAACTAAGCCTGAGGTCCCTGGTTCGTACATCAGAAAGCATTTTCAAGTTGAAGAAGCGAGATGAGCGTTCATGCCACAAGAGAACATAATGATCACATCTGAACCCACGCCGATGCCCTACACAGTTTACCTCTGGTCGTTGCTCTTACACTAAACCTAATGGATAGACCATGGGCTAAACATTCCTCAAGCGGGTATGTATTTCCGCCATGCACCAGGTAAACCCCACCTTGTGTGAAACTCTTTTTCGACAACGCTCACCAGTCCTTAGCAGAGACATGTGTAACAAAGCGCACAATCGCAGGTATCACGCACGAAAAGGGATCTTTTGACACTGGTTCGAACAAAGCTCCGCCTGGGTGGCAGATGAAAGGACGGCTTGCAAAACCGATGGGGAGTTCGAGATACGCACTCCGTACATGAATAGATTGCTGAGGGGCTCTAGTCAGCGTACGAGTACACAGAATTCCTTTCCCTGATCCCGGTGGAAAATATCCTTCCCCCTAGTTGTTCGGATTCGGGGTCTGCTTGTCGCAAGTCGCCCAGTTGCAGCCCTTGGGGTCCTTCCTTCCGTCTCGTGGGTCGCACTGGCTAGGACACCAGGCGTTTTGATAGGTAACGCCATTGGGCTTCTCGTAAGGGTTGCAGTGGAATCCGCCCTGTGTGCATGTGCTGCCGGGGTTCCCGACGCCGTATGCAGAGACCTATGCTGTCGTCAGTAGGTCGTCATACTCGTGATAGAGCTCATGAAGCATACTTACCATGCTGAAAGACAGAGCAGTGGTGACGAGAAGGTTGTTCAGTTGCATGGTGGAGGAGGAATATTTACGAAGAAGGAGTCAACAGTACTGATAGCGAGCGTAATGTCAACGGCAAAGCGAAGATGAGCTGGAAGTGAGAATGATTGTACAGTGACGCAGTCAGCGAGAGACACGGCTTTTGTAGAGAGTTAGAGAAGCATTGAAGACGGCCAGCCCGAGGGTTTACGGAAGTATAATAAGTTGCATTTGTTTAGCATCATCTGATTCCTGATAAATTGCGCATGAACTTTCTCGGCCTGGTCGACCAAAGCTTCCTGTTCATTTGAGGCATACCCATATGCTCGATACTTCATCGAGTCGGAGTCATACAAACGGCTTAAGCATGTGAGAAATTTCAACTGAATCGCGCAAAGCGGACACCGTCTAAATTGCCGTGAAGAGAGTCTTTCGAAGGGAATATCTCC